ACGATGATACTCTCTAGCATAGTTCGACCTGGCATGCGATTCTTACTGGCTGCCCATAACTTGGATACTGAGAGTTAAATCTGTCAAAACGGTCTCAGAGTGAAAATGAATTGGAAAAACCTACGCCCTGTTTGGAAACAAAATCCATATCGTCAGTGTGAGTTCGAAATGAGACTGAAAGATCTTCCTGGCTACTCTCTACGCTGTCAGCCGGCTAGCCAGACGTTCGAATGCAAACCACCAAACGAAATGTGTCACGTGAACGTACAGTTAAACAGTCGAGGCAGCAACACAGCAATGTTTCACCTCAGTTCCTGATCCTCTTCGAGTTTGAACTCCTGCACTTTTGGCAACTTGACTACTTCGCCGCTTTTCCCGTTCATCTAAACATTACGCATTGATAAAAGACATTAACAGGGCTGTGCATGTATGTACGCGAATATCTCTCTGTAGAGCGTACGATGAGGCAAAACGACACTGAAACGATACTGACGCCGACGGCGACGGTAATGGCAAAACAGCAACGCATTCGGCGGCTTACAGTTTATTTGCTTATGTGTTTAAACAAACAAAGTAAAACCGCAGTCAACTAAGACACAACTAGCAATCGACGTCGGCCGGCAGCAGCGCGTATCGGCCGGCACCGGCCTCAGTGTCGACCTCAATCTCAGTCTCGGCCATAATAGTCCCCGACGACGCGGAATGCCGTAAAGGCTGCGATGGTGGCAACAGTTTGTATCGTTCGCATTTCGACGTCTGCCTGAGGTACAGATCGTATAGATCTTCAGTGGTGATGGCATTCGTCGACTGTAGCTCAAGTTCGTCACGGACGTTGACCAGCAAGTGAAGGATGATGTCCATCGAACGGTCCACGTGAGTCGATGGCGACAGCGGCTGTAGACGAGCTTCGTCGATCGCCGGCTGACCACTGGCGATTGCGCAGCAGCAGTCATCGACAGCGGCTGGCAGTGCGTCGGCACCTTCAGTGACGCTGGTCACGTCGACAGAACATGAGCTAAATCTGTGAAGGTAGCACACTAGGGCTGGCAGTTCGGACAGCAAGCTGAACTTGGAGCAGGATAACATGCGCCAGAACGGTAGGATGCAGTCGTCAGTCGAGTAGCTGAAACGCACACAAACAACGCGGTCACTGAAACGGTCGGCAGCAGTTGCTGAACCAATCGTCACGTCGTCCTTTAGCAGATGCGGCAACAGCAGTGTCATTGAAGGCTCGAATGTGTCCACCCAAGGTGCGACGGAGACCAGCCGAAATCGCCTTGGGTACTGAAAGAACAGTTTTGAGCCTTCGGACATGACAACCAAGAAGAAGTCGGCTCGACTGAAGCACTGCGCTATCCATGCGTAGGGGTCGAAAGGTTCGTCTTCTTTAGTCGACCACCGGTCGAACATTACATCGCAATGTGCGTTTGAGCTCAGAAAGTTAGCCAGCTGCAGCACCACCTCGCTGTGCTGATGACTGTCGTCTGAGTAGATGAGGAACACCTTAGGACGTGTGGCGAAAGTGACGGCGGTTGGCACCTTCGGCCTCAGCCGCCTGCGAACCACTACCACTAGAAAGACGACGACCAGCAACACGCCTATCATAAGTAACAACAAAGCAAGATCAAGCAAAGTGAACCTCCTTCGGTGGCCGTCATCCTTAGCAGCCCCCTGAAGAACGCTGGTGAAATTGAACGCCAGACGCTGAGTGAGGCAGTCACTCTGAGGACAGGAACTGTGAATGACGTGCACATCGAGAAAATGGCCGCCAGTCCTCATGCCGTCAATGTACAAATGTGTTTCGGGAAGGAACACCGTCTTAGATACTTCCAGAATGCCGGCGTTGACGTTCCAGATCTCGACCAACATGCGATCAATGTTCAGCCGGTCGGGTGGAGCAGACAGATTGACAGCGGCGCCGCGACCGTCGTTGGCGTCCAGTACAATGAATGGAATCCAGTCATTGGCAAGCACCGCGCCGAACAGGCGTCTTGCACTCGGACCTTTCATCAAATACCGCGACTGACACTGTAACGGATGAAAACTGACCGTCAGCTGAATTGTGGACATCACCGGCAGAGTGAAACAGTCAATCTCGATTTTGATGGCCGCGTCGTGCCTTTTCGAAGTTTGTGCCTGCGAATCAAGTGGCACACCGTGTTCACTGTCGCCCTCCAGCGGCAGCCTCCATTCAACCATTCGGCAAGGCCAGTAGAATCGTGGCCAGTAAGGGCGACTTAGGTTTTGACAGAAAGTGTCAGACGCCGAGCCCTCAACGCAAGACCAGTGAAGAACAACGGCACGCATTCTCGGCTCGCTGACCGTTATCAACACCTTAATCCTGGTAAACATCGAATGCACGTCGTTCGGCATGTAGGCGACCACCGTCACGGCCACCATAGAGCTGGGGCATGGCACATCGTTGAAATGGCCGGACTGGGACAGCGATGGTGAAAGTCCTGAAACGGACACGTTGTCGAATTCGGCGAGCAACTCGTCGCTGCGTTGCTGGCATGCTAGCGTGGTATCATAGAACGCACAGTTCAATGGCTGGCCGTAGTGCGAGCGACAGGACGACCGGCAGCGTCGCCTCTCCAACAGGCATGCGGTAGGCTTCATGATGGTTGACAGACATACAATCGCACAGACCATCAAGCTGCGCGCCAACGATCGCTCTAACAACATCGGTCAAACTGTCCAATAAATTGCAACCGTTATGTTTACCACGGAGGTTCAAAGGCACTACCGAATGTTATGCAAATGCAGGAAGTAAATGCGATGGCAACACAGTCAATCCGAGAAGCTTCAACAGAACCATGAGAAGCCGAATCGACCTGCATCCGCAGACGCTGAATCAAGGAGCATTAGTGTCCAAAGGATTAGCAACACAATGGAAGGCGACATCTGGTGATACTACTTCGATGTGTGCCTATATATATGGATGTGAACATAAGTAAGGGTTGTATATGTATCTGTCATGTCTATGTTACATGAACCCGCTACACAACAACCTTATCATAATAGGACGGTCAACTCCACAGAGCGGCCAGTCTGCAGGCTAACACGTTAAAATACTTCATTAAGTATGAACGTGGGACGAGCCAATATTGTTAGCAAATCAAAAAATAAAATTCAGCCACAGCAAATAAAACGCTCATGCAAAAAAGCCAAGAAACAAAGACAAATCCCAGGGTAGGCAAAATGCGCAGCTCAATTCTACCGTACCCTAATCTGATGCTCAGCTTTTTAGTTAACATTAAGCAGAAGCCTAAAACCGTTGCGCAAAATGGAAAGTTAAGTTTCTATTCAGCCTAACGACAATGCACGCACTCAGACTTTTTACTTCAGATGTAAGTCATTTTCTATGCCTATGCTTAAAACCATAGTTATTAAAATGCCAAAATTTTCGAAAAAAGGAATATCTATATACTAACGAAACGCATTTGCTGCATTTGCACGAGAAATATCAGAAACTGAATTTACCATACGAGAGATCTCACTAGTTACTTTTCAGTGCTGAAGACGGCTAAGATATTTGACTGAACGAAACTGAAAGAATTACATATCGGAAACTGTACAAAAACGTGGTCTATTCATACACAAGGCCAACAGTGTAATCAATCGGGTAATTATTCAGACAGATAGTTCAGGTCATGTATCTGAGCCACCTTCCACCGGAACAAGGTTGATTTTCAAAGTTCGTTCTACGGTCTGCATCTGTATAAAGTTTGAAATGAAAAGGAAAGCTTTTGGCCCATGTAGCTGATTAATTAGTTGCTCCACGGCAGGCACAGTAAGGTATATCCAATCCGTTTAACGTTAGTATGATGTGTTCCCGTTGAGATTATCGCAAGACTGGATAATCAGGGCCTTTTTGATGCGTATGTTTAGTCCTGGACACGATTTCGGGCTTGTTTCCAAGAATTGTTTAAAAGATATGTTACGATTTTTGCCATCTGTCCTAGTAGCGATAAAATTAGAGCATTGGGCCTCTTCCGTAAAATATCGATATAATCACCCAAAGAACAAATCATTCTAGTTCATCCTTTCTTGATATCTTTATAACTAAATCTGATAATTACAATATAATTTAAATTTATCGCAAATTACTAACA